ATGTCACGTGACACCATCACGGAGCCACCGGCCACATCAAGACCCCCGCATCGGCCACCCCAGGAGGCCGGGGGGGGGGGGGGCGACCTACGGCCTCTGCTTGCTTTACGTGGCCTAAGAACAGTCTTTACACTTTACCTCCTTCAGGACAGGTGAAAATGATATGAAATTGACATATCAACAGACACAAAGTTTGACTGGCGCGCCCGTTTGTCTCCCCAACAATAGCAAAGCTGAGTGGCTGTGATGGAGGCGTGTGGCCCGCAAGGCCTCAGATGTATGCCCAGCCCTTTACAGGAAGCATTCACCCAGCCCTGCACAGACCCACCGACTTCCAAGGCAAGAAGCAAAGACAAAAAGGGAGACTGCCCTAGATCAAAGATACTGAAAAGACCGAACAAGCAAGGGCGGGTCCTGCTGCGTCTGGAGTCAGGCAAATTAGAGGACGTTTGCGGGAAGTCAGGGTGTCTGGACATGGACAGGCCTTCATTTGCTGCCCAAGTGGACATGCACATGGTTGGGACCCCCGGCTGCAGCCCAAACCCCATGCATCCCAGGGAGTGAGTGGGCGGCAGCAGCCAGGGCGGCGCATGGAACAGGGGAGGGGTCTCACCCTGCACCCAAGTGGGCCGCTTGGTTGGACCGGGCAGTGCAGCCCACCTAGGACACCCCCTGAGAGTCCCACAGTGGGAGCATGGAGCTTGGAGGGCTTGGGGACAGGGACGCAGGTGCTACGCTGAGGAGGGGTCAGGGCTGCAGGGAACCCGACTCAATCACCCCACGAGGGTGAGGAACCCCTGTGGGCTCTACAGGGTCAAGTCCCCCGCCCCCTCCCCTCCTCATTCCTAGGAGCCGGACCCATGCACCCCGTGGAAGCCAAGGTTGGCTCAACTCAAACTCAGGGCCAGAGAGAAATTGCCGAGTGCCTGGTGTCCCGGCTCTTAGGGCCCTGCCAGCTTCTCGAGCCTGAGAAAGGCCCCCAGCCCCCAGCCCAGGGCACCAGCCTTCCACTGGACAGCTCTGATGGTCAGAGCTGACCCTGTGGCCCCCTGATTCACGGCCCTGTTGGGGCCCCCGGACAAGGATGTGGACGGGTCTGCTTTCGGGCACCTTCCCAAGGTGGGCCCCAACACCTTCAGAATCCGGTAGCACCTTCCCATCAGAAACGGTCCAATACGCAGAGGCAGGGACCCTCACCCACGAGTGCCCCGCTGTGGGTCCAGGGCGGCCTCCTCCCCAGGGGCCCCGCCCCAGCCCAGGGGCCCACACTCACCTGCAGCATGAGCTCACACTCATCTCGCCCCACGAAGATGAGCTCTCGGGGGAGCCGGTGGCGAGTGCCGCTGCCGCTCACCAGGAACCAGGAGGTGGCGCTCATCTTGGCACTGGCGAGGCCTGTCCGGCCCTGGGGGGTGAGGGGTCATCAGAGCAGGGCTCCCCTGCCTGGGCCCGGGCCCCTGGACACCCCAAAGACCAGCACAGATCCTGCCCCGATGAGGTTCAAGCACCTTCACGGCACCACCGCAGTGGCCGCTTCCAGAAATGCTGGGCTCCAGGCCAGCCCCTCACCGAGTGTGCCTGTCCCCTGTGGACACCTCCCAGGCTAAGGTCGCCCGGTCCTCCCTTACACTCTAGGTCCACACATAGCCTCTTCTCTCTCTCTCTGGGTGCCAGAGATTGGGTGCATGGGGCGCTAGCCACACTGCCTGCGTGTGGACCCACGTGTGTCCCCGTGACCTGCAGGAGCTGCTCCCAGGTGGGACTCAGCGTGGCCCTTCAGGGTCCCCACAGGCTAGGCCCACACCCAGGACACAGACTCTGAACCAGAGCCTCTGCCTCCCCTGCTGGAGACTCTGGGGTGGGCCCAGGCAGGGGGCAAGGAGGAGATGGCTGGAGACCGGAGCCCTGAGCCATCAATACGCCTGCCACTGAGAGGGGGTTGAACGTCCCTTGGCAGTCACTGTGACTGCCCTGCAGACGCCCCCAGGCCAGGACAGTACCAGGTGGTCAGGGCAGCAGGCAGTCCCTCCAGTGCCCAGGAGGGAGGTGGTGCTTTGGTGCCTGAGATCCTGGGGGCTGATATGGTCAGGACGGACAGGGGAGTATCAGGGTGCCTGAGGGGCACAGTGGGGACAGCCTGAGTGACAAGGGCCGATGTCACCCGAGACCAGACCCTGGGGCAGCCTGAGGCCCCACGCAGCCAGTGTGCACGTGCTCTCACACAGATGCCAATTGCCCAGAGCCGTGTCTCAGGGGCACAGGTACCAGAATGTGCAGACACACCTGCGCCCCACACATGTGCACACAGCTTACACACACACCCGGAGCACCGCCTACAAGTGCCCTGGCCACTCTCCCGTGGAAGCTCACACACGCGTGCGCGCACACACACACACAGTGGGTAAAACGTGTCCTGAGCACTGCCATGCGCCAGGTGGTGTCCTGGGCTCTGAGAGACACACTCCCTGCATCACGGGGCTTCCCTCCAGCCAGGGAGGTGGGCAGCAAGAAGGGAAACCGCTTGTGAGAAGGTGCGAGTGACACAGAGAGAAATAGGGGTGGGGACAGCAGCGCAGCCGCGAGGGGTCCATCTACAGAGGGTGGTCAGGGAAGGCTCAACTGGGAGCGGGCGGATGCAGGCATGTGAACATCTGGGGGCCGTGCTCCAGGCAGAGGGAACAGGCAGGGCCAAGACGCTGGGCCGCGTGCTCCCGGGAGTTCTGTGGCTTGTCCGGGAGCGAAGGGGGAGGCCCTGGAGGGCCCAGGACATGCTGCATCCCTAAGTGCAGAATGCAAATGCAGTAGGCCTGTTCCAAAATTATGAAGGATTTCAAAACAGCGAGAGCAGAATGCTAAACCCAGTGCAGGGTCTGAGTGCGGGGCCCATGCAAGAGCATGTGTCACACACCCGTGAGGCCAGCCCTGGAGGTCCTGGGTCCATGATCTGACTCACAGTGTGCAGAACAGATGGCAGGTCAAGCAGGAGGCTAGTTAAGCCATGAGACAATAACGAGGGAGAGAGAAGATGGTGCTGGCACCTGGCGGGAGCAGAGGACCTAGGGAGCATCCCCAGGCCCCGTCCCTGCGACACCCACACCCAGAGCCTAGCCTGAGGCTCCTACGAGCCAGGTCTCAAACCAGGCCCCACCCATCGGTGAAGGCCCAAGTGACCATGTAACCCACGGCAAACCCTCATGTCACCTCGGGCAAGCAAGTGGAAAGGTGTCGAAAAATCCACCCAGAACACAGCCCCAGCCGGCCAGAGCCCCTCATCCCGGAACCCCTGCCCTTCCTCAGGGTCCAGCCAGAGGGGCAAAGCTCTGGAAGCCGAGGGGGCGGGGACTCCCGAGCCCCTGCAGCCTACGGAGGCCTCAGCAGCACAGCCGGAGGAGATGACAGAGCTCTCTCCAGGAGAGTCCCCACCCAGCCCCCAGCCCAGCCCAGCTCCCACACTCTGCCATCACCTGCCACCAGGTCGTGACGGGCAGTTGGCAAGGGAACCCCACCCAGAGGAGGCCACAGCCTCTGCTTATGGCAAAGGGAGGCCAAACCCCCAGAGCCGGGTTATGCGGCTGTGGCGGAGCCAGGCCGCCCCTGCTGCTGCCAGCCCATCTCGAAAAGGCCCAGGCCTGGAGTCGTGGACGCTCCCAAGCTGCCTGCGGCCGGTTCAGGGCTAGGCTGGCCATCGTTGCTAGGAGGGAGAATACTAAACACCCCGAACTTGTCCCCCCAGAAGGGCCACCCGCCTGGAGGGGAGGGGAGGAGGTGGAGTCGCCCAGGGGCAGGGGCCGGGAGGGGCAGAGAGCGGCGGCGGGCGGCTGGAAAGCGCAGACTGAACGGAGGCCGGGACAGCGGAGAGGCGGCGGCGGCAAAGGGAAATGAGGAGAGAGGGAGGTGGAGGAAGACGGAGGGAGGGACCGCGGGAGGGGAGACCAGGCCGGGAGGAGGCCAGGCGGGAGCGCCGGGCCCGCAGGGGGAGGGAGCGACGCCTTCTCCTGAATCAGCGCTGGCCGGGGGCGGCCAGGGCCCAGCCGGTGCCTGGGCGGGGACCCCGGCGCCCGGGCCAGCGCCCCCCTCTCCAGGCCGCGTAGACGCGCGCCCGGCGGTCCCTCCCGGCCTGACGCAGACCTGGGCCGCCTCCGCGGGGGCGAAGACCGACCTGGCCAGGTGCGCCGGCAGCCCCCACCCCCGCGCCTTTGTCCGGCCCACCGGGCTCCGCTCGCCCGCCCCCTGCCCGCTGCCCGCGCGGCCCCGTCGGCGCGCAGGTGCGGGAGCAGGGAGGCCCGGCCGCCGCGGGCGCAGAGCGGCGCGTCTTACCTGCGGCTCGGTCCCGACTCGGCCCCGGCTCGGCCCCGGCCCTCCCGCCCGGCCGGCCGAGCGCTGGGCGGGGCCGCCGCCTAGGACATGCCCGGCGCGGCCCGCACGCTCGCGGCAGCCCGGCGAGCCCACGGGCAGAGCGGCGGCCCGGCCTCGCGCGGCGGGTCCCTGACGTCTGCGGGCGCCCCGCCCCGCCCATGCCAGGCCCCGCCCCCGCCCCGCCCCGCCCCCGGAAATCCAGGTTAGGGCGGGCCCGGAGCGCCAGGTGAGCGCGGCTCCCGCCCCCGGCGGCTCAACGGGCCCCGCCCCCGCGCCCCCCCCCCCGACCCCCTCCGACCGGGCCCAGCCCCCTCCCCCACTCGCCCCCACAAGTCTGTCCCCAGACCCCTCCCCTCACGGTCTTCGTACCGCCTCGGCTTGGGGACCCGCCCCTGCGTGCCGGGGGCAACCCGGTGGCCGCAGCAGCCCCGCGTCTTGGCTCTGAGCCCGCGGTTAACGCTTAACCAAGCTCCGGGAGCCCGAAACTCGAACCGCACCGCTGGGCCCTAACCTTTGGCCCCGCCCGCCCAAATGAGGGGTGGAGGGCGAAGGAGGTGTGGTGAGCCCCAGAGGCCCGCGCCCGCCCTCTCGTGCTCCACGCGCCCCAACCCCGGGATTTCGGCCGGGCTGGGTGAGGTGGGTCGTGGGCGTCGACGCAGTCCTACCCTCTGCTGACTGCGGGCCGGGCCCTTCCCGAGGGCGGGGCGTGGGTCGCGGAGTGAGTTCTCACGCGCTGCTCGCTCCGCGCTGGGCGCTACAATAGAGGTATCCGGTGTCCCGAGAGCGAGAGGGGGAAAGGGCTTAACGCTGCGGGCAGGGGTGCTGTGGGAGACGCCTAGGTGGGGATTTGCCCTGCAGGCATTCCTGCTTTACTGGTGGGGACTGGCCTTGACCGAGGGAGGAGGTGCGCAGCGAAGCCAGGGAAGTCCTGGGAGCTGGGGTTGAGGAGGCGTGTGCCGGGGAGTCTGGGCTTTGTGGCCTGGGCGGCTGGCGCTTCTGAGCGTTCACGGTGCCCTACACCGGGAGCACCAACCCATGGTCACCAGCCCCCGACAGAGCCAGGCCTGGGGGTTGGAGTGCGGAGGGGGTCCAGCACCCTCGAGTACAGAGGGGAGCCCCATACCCACTACATAGGTGGAAACCCACCTACAGAGGGAAGAGCTATGAGGGTGCAGGGAGTGTGCCGGACGGTGGGCGGCGCCACCTGTGCGGGACGCACCGGAAGAACCTGAGTTGGGAGCGCGGACTGCTAGGGGTTGGGGTAGTGGGGGGAGGGGCAGGCCAGGGGAGGGACCTGTAGCCAGGTGATCAAGGAGCTTGGACTTCGTCCCAAGGACAACGTGGCGCCCAAGGAGCGTTTGCTGCTGGCTGAGACCTGCTCACATGAGGCTTTCAGAGAGCTCCAGGTGCCAAAGGGCATGGAAGGAAAAAGAACAGGAGTGGGGGGTGGGGAATGGTCAGGTGTCCAATCCTAGTCCTGGAATGGAAGAGGTGGGGGCAGAGAAGTGGGCTGGGCCTTCCCGGTTTGCCCCCCAGACCCACCTTCCTCCGTCCCCATGGCCTGCGCTCTAGGCCGCATCGGTGGCCCCATCCCCCACTCTCCCCTGGCTTCCGGGTGAGTTTGGAAGCCAGCCCAGAGGTTGGGGAATTTCCCCAGCTCCCTCCCGGCTGGGCACAGACCTCTCCTCTCCCTGAGGTCCTCTCCCTGAGGTCCTCTCCCTGAGGCCCCAGTCCCTACCCTGAGGCCCTTTCTACCCTCTTAGGGCTCTGAGGCCAGCCCCTACCCGGGTCTTCACCACCCTGTTGGTTTCGCCTACCCCTTGCCTGCACCTTGGTAAATGGACCTTTTATAAAAGTCCTTTTCTCTCTTTGCACCTTTCTCCTGCCAGGACGCTGACTTCCTCCAAGTCAAGGAAGAGAGAGGAGGCAAAGACGGCACCCAGTGGTCACCTGGACCCCCTACTGTCACTGGGAAACAGGTGAACAGGCCAGGAGAGCAGGTGTGCAGGGGTCAGCTGTTGAGAGTTTGATGCGGAACGATGGAGAGACCTGGGGACACTCAGGTGAGCTGTTCGGGACAGAGCTAGGGGCAGCTGGAGGCCTCATCAGGTGTGGGTGATACTTGGAGCCAGAGGGAGGGTAGAAAGAACAAGGTAGACTAGCCAGGAATCCACAGTGAGGACTGGAAAGGAAACCCAAGGAGGGGTGAGGCCACAGTCTCCCCAAGGTTGCATTGAATGCAACCTGTAAGAGTAGCTACAGGATTTTTTTTTTTTATAACTATGTGAACCTATCCTGAAATCCATGAGGAAAATAAAGGTGCAAGAATAATTAGCCTGCAAGTACTTGAACAGACATGTCTCCAAAGAAGATAACCAAGTGGTCAACAAGCACGTGGAAAGATGCTCAACATCATTAGTCATTAAAGAGATGCCAGTCCAAACCACAGTGAGGCGCCACTTCACACCTGTTAGCATGACGACTATCAAAAAATAATAATAATAATCAGTGTTGGTGGGAATGTCTGTGGAGAACTGAACCCGATGCATTATTGGTGGGAATGTAAAATGGTGCAGCCTCCATGGCAAACAGTACGGCAGTTCCTCAAAAAATTAAAAATAGAACTACCATACAATCCAGCCATTCCACTTCTGAATATATGCCCAAAAGAATTGAAAGCAGGGACTCGAATAGATATTCGTACACCTGTGTTCATAGCAACGTTTTTTACAATAGCCAAAAGGCGGCTGCACCCCAAATGTCCTTCAGTGGATAAATGGATAAGCGAAATGTGGTCCATCCTTACAATGGAATATTATTCAGCCTTAAACAGGAAAGAACATGGATGAGCCTTTAGGACATTGTGCCAAGTGAATTAAGCCAGTCTCAAAAAAGCAAATTCTTTATGATTCCACTTCTACGAGGTCCCTAGAGTAATGCAATTCTTAGAGATAGAAAGGATGTTGGTTGCCAGGGGCTAGGGGATGGGGAGTGAGTGTTTAATGGAGACAGTTTCAGATTTAGAAAGATGAGAAAAAGTTCAGGGGACTTCCCTGGTGGCGCAGTGGTTAAGAATCCGCCCGCCAATGCAGGGGACACGGGTTCGAGCCCTGGTCTGGGAAGATCCCACATGCCGTAGAGCAACTAAGCCCACAAGCCACAACTACTGAAGCCCGCACGCCTAAATCCTATGCTCCGCAACAAGAGAAGCCATGCCAATGAGAAGCCCATGTGCAGCAACGAAAGCCCAGTGCAGCCAAAAATAAATAAATAAAAATAATCTATAAAATTGTGGTAAAACACATAAAAAACATAAAATTTACCTTTTATCAAGAAATGTGAGCTTTCTTTTTTTAATGTTTATTTATTTATGTTTGGTTGCGTTGGATCTTTGTTGCTGCGTGCAGGCTTTCTCTAGTTGTGGCGAGCGGGGGCTACTCTTCGTTGTGGTGTGTGGGCTTCTCTCATTGTGGTGGCGGATCTTAACCACTGCGCCACCAGGGAAGCCCCCACAATTTTAAAAAGTAAAGAAAAAAACCAAAAACAATAGCCTGGGCTTCCCTGGTGGCGCAGTGGTTGAGCGTCCACCTGCCGATGCAGGGGGACGCAGGTTCGTGCCCCGGTCCAGGAAGATCCCACATGCCGCGGAGCGGCTGGGCCCGTGAGCCATGGCCCCTGAGCCTGCGCGTCTGGAGCCTGTGCTCCGCAACAGGAGAGGCCACAACAGTGAGAAGCCCGCGTATCACAAAAAAAAAAAAAACAACAAAAAAACCCCAAAAACAATAGCCTGTATAATTCTAAAAAAGAAGGCGCCAGTCCTGCCAGAGGGTAGAATCTGTCACAGAGCCGACCAGAACATTCTGTTATAGGTGGTTGACTGAACACACAGATCAGAGGTCCGTGTGATCATTTAGCATACTATTATTTGGCATTTAAAATCTGCGAGGAAAAGGGCGTTCTTTAATAAAGGGTGTTGGGACAGCTGAGCAGCCATCGGAAGGAAACATGACATTGGACTCCTATCTCACTCCAAAGTAAATTCCACATGGACCAGAAATACAAATGCCAACAACAAACCCACAAAAGCATTTGAAGAAAACACAGGAGACTGGAGGCAGTTTAATAGTCTCACCATGAGGAAAGCTTTTCCCAGCATGATAGAAGCAGAGGTCATAAAAAATTTTTTGATAAATTTAAGTAAATTACAAATTGCAACATTTTGCATAGATATAACCTTTTAAGTCCTAGGATGTGCCGCAAACTGGGAAAAGCTTGTTGCTAACTCATACCTCAACGGAAGGGCCAACTCCCCAGCAGAGCGGGCCTGTGAATTAGTAAGGATGGGGGCCGAGCGTCTCACTGGAAGTTGGGCAAGCAGCCCAGACGCATGCAGAAGGAAACCCACATGGCTGTTAGCTGAAAGATGCTTAACTTCACCCATGAGCAGAGAAATGCAAATGCACGTGACCTTCAAACTTTGGAGGTTTCGAAGAGGGACGGGACGGGAGTGGTGGGGAGACGGGAGCTAGGGTGTGAGTCTGAGGTTGGAGGTGGGGCGACAGTGCCCATCACCTTACAAAAGCCCTCGTCCAGCCAGCCTGTCTGCTTCCCAGGATCTGTCCTGCAGGAATACTCGCGCATGTGCACCAGGCCTAGTCGAGATTTTCATCGCTGCTTTGCACCTAAAGCAGAGCTAGAAACGGCTCGGCCTCGGTCCGTCCAAGGGCACCGCTGAGGGACGCCAGATGCCGTGCAGCCGTGGGCACCACTCCGTGGCTCCCTGGGGGGCACAGCACCAGCTCCTCAGTGTTCTCAGAGAACCCGCAGCCCCCTCTCCCTCCTCTGCACTGTCTGGTCGCGGGGTGGCCCCTGCACGCGGGAACTGGGGTTGGGGAGACCTCATTTCCACCCTTGGCCCGAATTTTTTAAACGAGGAAGCTGTATTAACAATGACAAGATTTGCTGTTTTCTGTAGGGAATAGTCAGGAGGGGGCAGGGTCCCTGTGCAGAAAGAGGCGAGGGGGCGGAGCGCCCAGCATATCCTGGGGACACGTGGCTCCAGGGCTGGGCGGGGCGGGGCACCAAGTTGGTGCCTGGGGCTTGAGGTAGAGCTGCAGACCCCCTGGGGGGTGGGAGTGGAGCCAGGGGATGCAGAGAAAAGATAAAAGCAGGCCTCCCATCCCCCTCCCATCCGGTCCCCAGCCCTAGGGCCTTGCTGCCCTTTGAAGCCACTGGACTCGGCAGCCTGGCCCACGTTCCTCTGGCCTCCTCCTCAACCCCGTACCCCGCTCGCCAGGACTTCGCCGAGGTTCTCTGGTTGAACTCACATAACCTGAGCATCTGCCAGCCTAGTGGCCCTGTCCTCTGTGGTCGAGAACCGTGGAACCCCGGCTGTCCCTTTGCCTTTGGATTTTTGCATTTAGTCCCTAGTTTCACATGCATTTGCTGCTAGTGGGAGAAAGAAACCTCAGTGCTGACACAGAGGTGATGGGCCCAGCCCCTGCACCTTCCCAGAGTCAGGCGCAGGGCCCGTTCTTCCCATCCCGATTGTCTGTCCAGCCTTGCTGACCAGACACCAAGGTCAGCTGCAGCCAGGAGCTGGGCCTTCCTGAGGGGCCGGCTTCCCACTTGTGTGTCTACTGCATGGCTGCCCAGGCCTGTTGGAGCTGCCCGGCCCAGGACACGACAGGGATCGCCTGCAGGCCTGGGCCCTGCCACACCGGGGAGAGTCCTGCGGGGCTGGTCTGGGCCAGGCAGCTGGGGCAGGGTCCCGCTCAGAGGGGGGAGGCAGGTGGCCCAGCGGAGGTGGGAGGACCCCTGGCCACTGTCCCTGTCCTCTGGGCTCAGCCTCAGGGATGAGGTAATTATCCTAATTATCCGCGAATGGCAGGGGGGCAGTCCTAAAGCCTGGGCCGCACTTGTCCATGTTTCATTATTCGGCCCAGCTGAGCCCCGCAGCTGAAGGGTCAGGCTCCAGGCCAGGGGATGGGGGGCACAAGTCCTGCTGGGGCCTGGCATGGGAGCAGCGGGTGCTGGACTGTGGCAGGACAGTCGTTGGCCCCTGCACCCCTAAACCTGAGGGCAGGTGGGAGGGGCTGCCAGGCTATATCCCCATAACCCCTGAGCCTCCCTCTTGAAGGACACAGTGTCGGCCTGCACCCCACGCAGAAGTCACCCCTCAAAGGGAACCCAAGGGTGGGCAGGGCAGTGGCCACGCCCCACACACCCCGCCGGCTTCATGCCCCCATTCTCTCCCTCCTCCATTCATGCCCCCTCCCCTAGGTATGCCCCCTCCCCCATTTGCTCCCCTCCCCCCATTCGTGCCCCCCTTGCCCCCCTCCCCCATTCACATCCTGGCCACGTGCTGTGAGCATTGTGCTCCTCTGCTGTGGGTGTCCTCTCTCGCGCCCTCAGGCTGGAGGGCAGAGTCCATCTCTGCTCCGGGTCCAGGCTCTTATACTCCCCCCGCACACACACACCCCCATAACCCTGCAGCTCCCGTGACGGACAAGGCGGGTGAAGAAGGGCTGCAGGAGTCACCTCCTCCCGACTCGGGGTGACCCTTTCTCAGGGATCCCCCAGGGAACAAGGAATAGCTTTGCTCACATCTGCAGCACCGCCTCAGCCCTCCTTCCACCACGGCAATCCTGAGGGCACCCACTCCAAAGCCTCCCGCCCTGTTCCTTCCAACAGAACCAGGTGCTTTCAGCCATCAGGGCAGAGCTCTTGATCTCAGGGAAGATGCGCCAGACGCAAAGCTGGGTGTGGGCACAGGCCCAGTGTTTGCCCAAGTGAGGCGACTTCTGCTGTCGGCCAGGGAGTGGAGAAGGGTGCTTCTGGGAATGCTGTTCCTCCCATTGAAGAGATGAGGTGAGGTAAGACACTGTGAGACACAGTGAGCCATCTGCTCACCGCCTTTGCTGGCTGAGGTGTGATGCTTGGAGCTCCAGCAGCCATGATATGAGCAAGAGGAGAAGACCAGGACCTGGGCAGCAAAGCCAGTCCAGATCCCTGCCTTTGCTGCTGAACTGGACCCAGAATAAACACCTCATTCTTATTAAGTCAGACAGACAAGAAGCCCTCATTGTCTCTTAAGCTACTTTGGGTTGAATGCTGTGTTCATTGCAGCCCAGCCATCTGTGTAGCATAACATGTTCAGGTCGGCTTTCTCCAAACTGTTCTTGGAATATTAGTAATCACTACATCTATGAAAGAAAAGGCCATTTTGGTGATTTTTTTTTTTTTAATAAAAATGTGGTACCCATCCCCCCACCAAGCATGACCACCTGGAAACCACCGATGAGGTCCCTTCTCTCTAGGGATGGTGACATTGGACATAGGCTCCATTAGCCCTCCTCCAGGATGAAGCATGTGCCAGAGACCTGGAGAACCCCGCTGGGGCTGAGCTTTTGAGAATCTGGGTGTCGTCCATTCCATCAGCCCATACACCTCAGGCCATGCTGAGGAGCACATGCTAGGACGGAAGGCAAAGAGCACATCGACATCTGCAAGACGTGCTGTTCCTCCAGAGCCTTTGACCTCGAACTAGGAGC